ATTATTTAATAAGATTAAAAGTATAATCTGCTCACATATCATCAATAAAGATTACCTTACTAATCATGTCCCTATGATTTTTGAAATGTGATGTCACAGAATTATATTTATCCTGAATTGCAAAAAAGTAGCCAATACAAAAACCATCCTTTCCCATACTTGATGAAACTAATAAGGCCAAACATAATTAAATATTTGTTTCATGTCCAGGATTAGAAATAATTTGGTTTTTTTTGGTGATGGTATTTACTATTTCCTATCCTATATACTAGTGGTAAACAGGTTGGTAAATAACAAAAATATAATATAATAACAAGAGTCTTATATACTTCAATTTTGTTTCCACCTCTGCTTAAGCTTTGACAACAATCTTTCAGATCATGATTATTTTTATTTTCCATAGGAAAATGATTATGTTTTTTTTTAAATACTAAATTCTAATTTTTTTTCTGTCAGTACCAAAATTTGATGAGGGAGGGGACGTGAAACTAGCATTTAATTTCATTTGGCCTAAACTGTTAAATGTTATCTTCCCATACAATAATAACATTTTATGTTTAATTAAACTTACAATATATCAAATTTCACAATATTTTTAATGATGTATGTTATTTCACGATACTACGTATGGTAGCGTAGCATCTTTCCCGACACATTAGTTCTGTAGCTTTCGTACTGTCCCATGATGCTGCAAGCAACAAGATTATTATTTCACACTATTATTTACCTGGTTAGTTGTGTTTGACTTGAAGCCATAATACCATACTAGGCACGCTTGTCACTAGTAGCCAAATATTCTACCAAAGAATGACTAATAATAACAATAATTAAATTCATATATTTATTATGTTTTGTTATTCATACCATATTGTATATTTCTTAAATTTTTTACATACCTTAGGAATTCAGGTTTGAAATATAGTTTAAAGCATTATAATAGTGTAGTAATATAAATAACAAAGTATTACTAATATTATATAGTAGTTATTATTATTTTAACATTATTATTATTATTATTATTATTATTATTATAATTTCATAGATCAAACATAAAATCTTTTGTATTAATTTTTTTTCATTAATAAGTAGTCATTTATTTTATTTTATTTATTTCTTCTTTACCAAGGATCAGCCTGATCAGTTTAAAGGCTCTCTTATCCCCCAGGGCCCAGCAACACATAAATACAATCAAATTACAGAATAAACAAAAATAAATAAAATAAAAATAATACTTTATTATTAATTTTATCATAATTTGACAAAATATGCAAGTTTATTTTTAAAAGAAGTCAAGATCAAAACTAATAGGATTACACTGCAGTTGTAGCATTCTTCACACATTAAAACAATGCTTGTCAATAGCGGATTCCCGAGGCTGTAGACACGCGTGGGAAACCTCTTTGGACAGTTTGACATCGCGCGCCAAGTGTGTGCGGAAAGTTGTCATCCACAAACAACGTCCTCACATGACCTGGGGAAAACCTTGAATACTGGCCGTCCTTACCACGCTTTGGTTTAGCAGTGTATAAGGGTATAAGCTACCGGCACAGAATCTCATTCATAAAGTTGGGAGGAAATGCCATCTCCTGCTCCACACGCACTTAATGCATTCTACATCTGTGCTGGGTAAGATGAAAGATGTTCGGGGAGATAAGGACCTGTAATCGGTGGAAACACTGAAACAACATTCTTTCATAATTTCAATGCCTGGCCCCTTGTCATTACTTGTCCCTAGCAAGACCTTAGTGTATTGTTCCACGCTCGCATTCCGTTGCGTGAAACAAACTACAAATATTTACTCAGACAAAACCACAACAAAAGTAGATGAGATTTTTTTAAACCTTATTTTGAAAGTGCTCCGAGTAGGGAGGCATAAATAGCATACAGTCGAGACTATCAAATTGAACTATAATAAAAATTAAAAAAGTGACATGCCTAAATAGGCCCTAATATGGTCATGATGACACCACATCATGACTATATTTAGGCACATCATGACTATATATGGGCATATAAGTTTTTTGTAAAAAAAAAATAAATTGACAAAGTTTTAACAGGAGAAAGATTATTTCTGTCCTGGGGGCTGAGACTGCAGCCATGCTAGACCTCATTCCATATAATTTATGATGTAACTGGACAATTTAACAAATCAATTTCTAGCACCATCTTTTGTTAATGTCATTCCAGATCCCAGCAATACATCAGTTATCATTAATGTTACTTTAGTTTCTCATCAAGTCATCCAAAAGACTTTTTTTTTAAGGCCTATTCCTATTTTTAATGTTAAATTTTATTGGGAATTTATAATATGACACTTAAATTGTAAATAGTAATTGAATATTTGAAATTGTAAATAATGTAAATGAATATCAATATCATGGTACAATGTTAAATATTGATTGTTATATTTTGAATGTACTGTTTTAGTGAGTGTATCTGGTAATTCTGTTATATGATATTTTGTGCAATGTTTGGTACTTATGTAAACTCACAGGTTTGCCCTCTGGGATTGATGTTGTGAGGTTTATATACCAAATAAATAAATTTTTTTAAAAAAAGCTTCCCTATCAATACATAATTCATGATACAACAACATGATACAAAGAAAAAAAAAAGAAAAAATTTTAGCAAGAATTTAAAGGTGACAAAGTATTTTTTTGATTACACTTTATATAAGACAGGGACTTTTAAGCAAATTTCAAGTTCAATTTTCGGGTGTGGTAAATGATGAGAAACAAGGATAATGCTTACACCTAAAAACTGAACCCTACAACTAAAGGAGGTTACTTAATTTATTAGTACCTTTCTTGTTAGTTTAGTTCAAGAATAAAAAAAGAAAACTAATGAGTAAAACAATTGATTTCTAAGGCCAGGGTCCAGACTATCAATTTTATATGGTCATGAAGACATCACATCATGGCCATATATAGGCCATTCATGACTATATACGGGCATACAACACAGTAGATTTTTAGGCCAACTCAGATAGCGTAGTACGACGCAGCCCGACACGATTCATCGTCGGGGACAGTCTTGAGCCGTCGTGAGAAATATTAAACATGTTTAATATTCTACGACGCGACTGCCCCCGACACAAACCATCGTGTCTACGTTTAACTCACACAAACTTGACGTGACAACAAATCGCGTCGAGCTGTGTCGTACGACGCTGTCTGACTTGGCCTTTAGTCAAAGGAAGATAGTGTGGACATAGCAGCAAAGTTGAATATTCATGTAATACAGTTCTAAATCAGACAAAGACAAACATAGTGTGAACACAGTACAAGTATGAGAAGTTACCATTTTTTAAATCGTTAATGTATATTTATGATTTTGCTTCACATTCAATTTCAAGCCTTTCTTTGTCCTCCGGGGGATAAAGAATGGAAGCAATTAGACTTACTTTTATTTATTGATTTAAGTTCATAAGTTACAGACAGGGATAAACATGCAATGTACTTTGAATTACTTGCAAATATCAGGCGAAATGTTAACAGGTGGTAGGCATAAGAATATATCTTGAAGCATGTAACTTAACATTAAACTACGAAACAGATTGTCATTAAAACATAATACATATACTGAGACCCATGCTGTAGTTCTTTTTAAATGTTAAATGAATATTCATTAGTATGTATTATATTAAATTTAATTATTAGTAAAATCATTATTCATAGATATAGAAATGAATATTATCAGTATTAATTAGTATTTATTAATTCTATAAATACTCATCAGTATAATGTAATATTCACATATTTAGCAATAGATGTTCCCTATTAATGAGTATAATAATGATTATTTATGAATAAATAATTATTATAATTATTTATCAGTATAATAATGTTCATTAATATTTTATTATTACAGTATAAACTTATCTGATTTTATATATGCATATTTTGAGCATGGCCCTGTAAGTGGTTTATATCATAATGAATATTCATAATGAATGTTCATTTATATCATAATGAATATTCATAATGAATGTTCATTTATATTATAATGAATATTCATAATGAATATTCATTTATATTATAATGAATATTCATTCCTATCAAAATTAATTAGTATATTAGGCTTATATAATTATTCAAGCAAATATACTTTCATTTTCATTATCATCAATGATGTTAAATAGTCAATCTGTCTCT